GTATGGGGAACGTAATGAAGACGAAGGGCTTGTAAAATCAGAAACTCACAGGGCAGTTTGAGGGGAAAAGGGACAGAGGAAAGCAGCGTGTATCATACTTGATGGGCTGAAGTAAATGGATAGTAGAATAGGGTTTGGGGAGAAACAACAAAAAGACAAAGCTCATCAAGAGAAAAAGAGCACCATGACACAATTCACTCCGCCAGAAAATTAGAAACAGCATGATGTACTGCTTGGCATTCGCACCGGAAGCTCCAATACGAACATTTCATAATGTTTGGATGTCAGTCTAAGGACAGTCCAGAGGATTCGGCAAAGAGTTGAATGATATATCCAGTCAACATCACGGTGTTTGGAGTAATCACTTTCCTCCATTCATTTTCCCACAGGGCCTCAGACTCAACACGGAAATCTACATTAAGTGCCTTGAATAGGTAGTACTGCACTGGGTCAAGAGGGTGGCTGCTAAAAGGCACTATGGTAACAGGACTCTGCACCATGCCACACAAGCAGAAGAGCCCAGTCATATCTGTCAGATAATTTCTGCACCCCACTTGGCCACCTAACTCCCTAAATTCCAGCCCCCTTGATTATTATGTGTGGGGCGAAGTTGAGCAAGAGCCCAACAAAATTCCTTGTAATACTAAGGGTGAACTGAAGGCAAGGATTCAGGCATCACTCACCAATTTAAACAATGAGGCCATTCAGAAGAGATGCAGAAGTTTCCAAAGTCATCTGGAGGCCATGGTTGAAGATAATGGCGATTTTATAAAATAAATTTACTCTTTAGTATTCCAAGATATTTTGTGTCATTTTGGTAAATATATTGGATTGGCGTATAATTATCAGGCGTTTTTAAGCGAGTTAGTTGTTAATAAAAATTGCTGTTTTGTTTACTTTTTTAATAAAAAATATTATTCTATTTTCAGGTTATAAGAATGTGTGTCGATAATCATAGGCTCCGGAATAACCATTTTAAAATGTTATTGCTGAATATGTTTCTTTTTTCATAATAAATATTGTTTAAAAATGCCTGATAATTATGCACCAACCCAATATCTGTTAAAATGAGATTTTTATTTTTGCGTAATTTAGACGACATTTTATCCATCGCACACTGTGTATATATATGTATATGGAATTTTTATCTGACATTATTTTTTTCTGTTACTGTTCCAATTGTAAGTAGAAGGAATCGATTTTCCACGATGCTGTCTTGACGTGTTCTATTTTATTTTTATTTATTCATATATTATTTTTTTTAAAAGTTAAGCGTATATGGCATGTGTAATAATGTGTTGGACTTTCTGGCAACTACTGAGACATTTACAACGCATACACATATATGCAAACATGCACTCGAGATAGATACCCACGTTATTTAAAAAAAAAGAAAAGAAAACATATTTTGCTAGAGTTTTTTTTTTTAATTATATTTTTAGTTAGAGTAAAGGAAGTATTTTAACATCTAAGTTATACCAATAATAACAGTGATGACTTAGAGTCGCCAATGATATATATATATATATACTACAAGTTTTATTAAAATCGACTGACAATGTATTGCGGTACTTCGTCATTCGTTTTTAATGAAACTTGTATAAAAAAAAAGGGATTGCTATCCAAATACACAATTATATATATATACTAGCAGCATGGCTCGGCGTTGCCCGTGCTTGATTCGTACGACTCATACAGCAATCGCTATCACTTGACTTAAAATATTTTTGCCCTTCCTTGTCTTTAAAGGAGTGCCCTTTGCCGTGCTGATGTTGCTACATGCCTTACTTCTTATCTATCTCACACTGCGAATTTTTTCAAACCTCTATACTAAACATTAAATCTGTTACAAAAAAAGAACTAAACAAAATGAACACAAAACGATCAGCTCGTAACTGGAAAAACCGAATGAAAAAAGAATGTTAACAACAAATACTTTTTTACACCCAACCCAGTTCTGCGGAATTAGAATCAACGTTGAGTTTAAGCGAATGAGCCAATTGGAGTAAAGTGCCATGCAGATTTAAATTTTTCCCACTTGTGACGAATGTAGCTATCGATTTTTTTTTGCATGCTAGCATGCTAGTTAACATTCGTGTCAGTCAGCTGTTCGCTCTCACGCTGGCCAATAGAATCTTATGGCTATTCGTGGCAGTCAGCTATAGGCTCTCACTCTGGCCAGTAGAAAATGGCCGAAAACTACATGAAAACTGCCGTAGAAGCATGAAAAATCGATTATTTCCACTATCGATGGGAGTCGGTCTTGGCCTTCCCGCTAACTTGGAGCATGTGCATGTAAATTTTGGTGCAAATCCGTCAAAAATTACGGCCGTGCATTCGTTACACACACACACACACACATCCTGCCTTTTATATATATATATATATATATATATATATATATATATATATATATATATATATATTGCTGATTGATTTCTTGTCATCAAAACGATTGGCGGAGAAGAGGTGGCATGCCGTAAAACCAATCGATATAGACGATAATCTGTTCATACGTGCGTGTATTGGCGTATAAAAATATCTACGTCGCTAGGTATTTGAATTATACAGATGAATAAAAATAAATGACCGTTCTTTGGTCGAAATTCTAAGCAAAAATCAATGATCAAGAAACAATTAACTAATAGCAACGATGAAAAGATGTAAATATCTCCTTTAAAAATTCAGTTTATTTTCAGATCTTTTTTTCATAAATGGACTTATTACAAAAATGGCAATGAAATAAATTTCATCTTATTCTTAATGTAAAAGAAAAGATACGGAAAAAAAAACTTTTATCAGGGGAGCATCTTATATAGCCCTTTGTATCTGCTTCCGTGCCGACTAAACTCCCAGATTATATATATATATATATATATATATATATATATATATATATATATATATGAAATACGATTTTCAAAAAAGGTTTAAATTGTGTATTTATATAGAAAAAACGTCGCGATCAAAAAGTAAAACAGGAGTTGAAAAATCACTGACGACAAAAACAACTGAAAGAATGTATCTGGTTTATTCAAGTATGATGTCATCAAACATTGAGAGCGGCTCCCTTGAGAGGTTCACTCGAGTGAGCTGACCAGCAAGAAAAACTGATCCGCTTTTATAAAGTTTGAAATGCTTCTTCCTGTCAGATTGATTAAAAAGAGTCTAATATTATTTTAAGAAATACGATATCACTATTTACATTATTAAGACTATTGTCCTCATCTTTGTCGCCATATTTATCACAACGTTTCGGCCGTTGTACGCCCCAGCCTTCTTCAGGTGGTTGGAATGTCGATCTGAACCCTTTATTTCGCTCACTGGGGTAGACTGTTCTAGTTCCACGTGCCATGTCCAATGAATGTCAGTTATCAGTTATCTCCTGTTAATTCCCCTCTCCAAGTTCCCCTCTGCAGATTTTCAAAAATTATTCAATATTGGCAACTAAAAAGAAATTCTGAAATGCTGTGGGAAGCTATCAAGCTTTTCTTAATTGCTTTTTTAACTTCCAATATGGCTGAATGTGGTTTTGAACGCAATTACAGAGCTTCTTACTAAACAAAGAAACCACCTGCAAACTACAAAACAAGGCAATTTATGATTACTTCCGGGAAGCATGGAACATAGAATAAGAGCCTTAGCCAGTAAGCACCAAAGTCAACCATCCTATTGAAAACATTGAGATAAGTTGTCAAATTTTTTTGGGGGGGGATTTTAATCATTGGCCTTTCTTATAGAAGTGAAAACAGTATAAAAATTATTCTTGCACTAATACCTAAGTATTATCTTGCTATGAAAGTTAAATTCAGTATAATAATCGAAATTTATGCCCAAAGGGGGCGCTGATTGTGAAAACGTTGGGAAACGCTGTTTTAAGTTATTTAAAGCGGAGATATATTTTGAATTGTAAGAATAATTCTTTTTTTGCTTTGCGAGCGAATATCGCATTAACAAGTTTTTGGAGAATAACAATGATTTTCTAGATAACAGTCATACTATTTAATCCATAACTGGGGGAGAAGATATAATCATCCTTTTCTCGTAATAGCGCGCATGTAAATGTAACGAACGCGACTGGAATTTGAATTTGGTTATACAGTTTCTCATTTCAAGGGGGGGAACATCCATTACGCAACCCGGAACTTCAACCGAGAAGAAAGAATACCGGAATGAGAAGTAGATTTAGAATTCTGAGACTCTAATTGTGAATGGAATATTTGTCTTGAAAATTAGTAACTTTGTCTCAGCTCGAATACTGGCTTCTGACGCTAACTGGAAACAAATTCATAAGAACAAATTACTATGTAATTTATAATACTAATCATGCAAAATATTAATAATAATCATGCAAAGTAATAATAATGATCAAATAAAATAATAATAATAATAATAATAATAATGCAAAGTAATGATAATAATAATCATGAAAATTAATAATAATAATCATAGAAAGTAATAATAATCATGCAAAATAATAATAATTATTATCATACAAAATAATAATAATAATCATGCAAAATAATAATAATAATAATAATAATAATCATACAAAATAATAATAATAATAATCATAGAAGATAATAATAATTGTAATAACAAAAGTGAGTAAGAGAAGGCTTAAGGAAGCTTTATTCGCCTTAGAATACAAGCGGAGCGATTATTTATAGTCCTCTACAAACGAAAGATTTCTCCAAAAGGGGATAATCATAAAACAAGGGAGATTACTCACGATTACTTTATTACAATAATATTATCATACAAAATAATAATAATAATCATGCAAAATAAGAATAATAATGTTAATAATAATAATGTTAATAATTATAGTGCAAAATAATAATAATAATAATCCTGCAAAGGTCTTTGACCAAATTCTTTAAGTTTAATTTCAAAGAAACAAGCCAAACATGAATGGCAATGCATGGTACATTGTTGGTAGAAGTGTCGGTGAAGAAATAAAGAATTTTGCAATTAAAATAGGAGCAAAGAATTTTTACCAAAATTTCCAAATATCCATCCACCGTGAAAACTGGAAACAGCAACAAATCCTGCGTCCAAGGAAGACATGACGATGTCAGCCAAGGCCAGATTACCAACCATAATATTTGCAGAACTGTGCATTCTTTTGTATCTACAATTGGAAAAAAAAGAAAAGAAATTGAAGAATTGCAAATGCATCATGCAAGACAACCATGCACACATTGAGATATAAAAATGTGTTGCGCCATTGTCACAAATTGGCAATGAAAGTCTTCTTACCTTGCAAATCAGCAGTTTAAATGTTCGACATTTGACTCGTATTTAATATCGGCCAATTTATTATACAAAGAATGGAGTGTTGAACTGCTATCTAATGTCATATATGACAGTGAATGCTGGAAATTTTCTTAGTGACTTTCAGAAACTAGCAGATTATTAAGAGATAGGAAAATACCGTTCTAAATATAAATAAAAAAAAAACAATGCCGAACTGCTATGTAATGTTGCGGAGTGATTTCACAGTGGAGGCTTGTATTTGTACTAAGTCGGTCCTAAAATAGTTACGACGTACAAAACGTTAGGAACTTGATATAATAGGTATAACGCAGAGTAATCTAGTTGTGGTTGCTGATACTTTAGTATTCGACTAACTATCGTCCGACATCGAGTGACTCACCGACTGACTCGTTACTCTTACTACTCCTACTTATTATAAGTGGAAGAGTCTGTTAACTATAGAATAGGTGTGTTCTGCTATAACAGTAATATCTAACTTATATGTCAGAAAATGCTAGACAATCACTTTATTCTTTTTAGAAACTAAGCAACGTATTAAGACATACGAAAATGTCATTAGAAATAAAGAAAAGAATGCTGAGCACCTATATAATATCTAAACTATATGGAACGTAATGCTGGACAAACTCCTCACGCCTTTTAGAAACGTATTAAGAGATACGAAAATTTCATTAGAAACAAAAAATAGTGTTGAACTGCTATGTAATATATAATCTCTTATATGATCCTGAATGCTAAAAATCGCCTCATGTCTTTCAGAAACTAAGTAAATTATTAAGAGATAGGAATATACCATTCTAAATTTAAAAAAACAGCGTTGAACTGCCATGTAATATCTACCTTATATGACAGGAAATACTGGACAATTTCATCATGCATTTCACGAACTAGCAAAGTATTAAGAGATGAAACAATGTCGTTAGAAACAAAAAAAAAGGGTGCTAAACTGCTATGTAATGTCTAATCCCTCATATGCTGGTCAATGTTGGATAATCCCCTCATGTCTTTCAGAATCGAAGCAAAGTATTAAGAGATAAATGGTAATAGAAACAAAGAAAAGAGTGTGGAACTGCTATGTAATATCTAATCTTCTATATGACCGTGAATGCTGAACAATCTTCTCATGCCGTTCCAAAACTAAGCAAAGTATTAAGATATGAGAAAATGTCAATAGAAACTAAGAAAAGAGTGTGGAACTGCTATGTAATATCTAATCTCGTATATCGCAGTGAATACTGGACAATCTCATCACTAATGATGAGGAAACTTGAAGGGACAAAGGTGTGGAAAGGAATATGCCATTCTAACAACAGTCTTGAACTGCTATGTAATATCTACCTTAGATGACAGAGGATGCTCATACTATTCAGAAACTAAGAAAAATATTAAGAGATAAGAAAATGTCATTAGAAACAAAAAAAGCTGTGTTGAACTGCTATGTAATGTTTAATGTCTTACATGACAGTGAATGGTGGAAAATAACTTCATGCCTTTCAGAAACTAAGCAATTTATTAAGAGATAGGAAAATAATGTTCCAAACAAAAAGCTATGTAATATCTATCTACTATGGTAGTGAATGCTGAACAATCTCCTGATGTCTTTCAGAAAAAGGTCAAAGTATTAAGAGAAAAGAAAATGTCATTAGAAACAAAGAAAAGAGTGCTGAACTGTTATGTCATTTCTCCTATATGGCAATGAATGCTGGACAATCTCATCACTAATGAGGAAGAAACTTGAAGCAACAAAGATTTGGATCTACCGACGAATGCTAAGAATACAATGAACGATGCATGTGAACAACAAGTCCTAAAGAAAAGAACGACAAGGAAACTTATCCTCACAATCAGAAAGTGACAACAAAAATTACTTGAATATAATGAGGAAGAAGGGATTTGTGAATTTAACACTCACAGAATATACTGAAGGAAAAACGGGCAAAGGGAAAACAACGAATAAACTCCCTAACCTGAAGAGATGGTAAGAGAACAAACGGTGATCAGAGCTAGAAAGAACAAGAAACCGTGGAGGAATATGATCGCCTACGTCCATCAGGAATATAACAGAAATGGAAAGAGAATTGCTAAATAAAAAAGTAATTAAAAAAAGATCTCACCTAACAAATATGAACTCTAATTATTAATTAACCACTAATTATTATTTTATCTGCAAATTATCGCCAGCAGTTTGATGGAAGATATTTTTCTATACACCTGAAATGAACATGAACTAATTAGGTTTAAAAAAAAAACATCACAGAGACGAAAACATGTTTGTTTAGAAGATTAAGATTAAACATAGATTCGCCAATTTCATGCTTTTAAAGTTTGGTATCGGCAGCGAATTCTGGTCAATTTTCTCAAAGATGAAGAAGAAACCTGAAGCAACAGAAATGTAGTTCTACAGAAGGATGCAGAGGATACCTAGAATCGAACATCTGAGAAACGACGAAGTTCTAGAGACAATGAGAACGAAAAGAAACTAATACTCAATATCAGGAAGAGACAGTTGAAATTTCTAGGACGCATAAAGAGAAAAGAGACTTTGGATAAACAAAGATGCTTTCCAAAAGCTAATCAGAATATTAAGAAACAGAAAAATACTTCGTTAGAAACAAATAAAAGAGTACTGAACTATTACGCGATTTCATTCTATCTATATGGCAGTAAATGCTGGAAAATCTCCTGAAAGATGAAGAGACTTGAAGCAACAAAAATGTGTTTCTACAGATAGATGTTGAGGATAACATAGACCGAACATGCGAGCAACGACGAGGTTTTGGAGAAATTGGAAACATAAAGGAAGCTTATACATAACATCAAAAAGAGGCAGTTGAAATTTCTGTGGCACATAATGAGAAAAGACGACTTGGAAAACCAGATACTCACGGGACAGATTGAGAGAAAGAAGGATAGAGGAAAGCCGCGTGTAAAATACTTAATGAGCTTGAGTAAATTGATGGTAGAACCGGATTTGGGAGAAATAGCAAAAAGATAAGATTTATTAAGAGCTAGAAGGGACAGGAAGATGTAGAGAGCCATGATCACTTACGTTCGGAAGGGACCAGGCACATAAAAGAAGAAGATCGGAAGTTTCGGAGACTGTATAGGTTACTGTTATATCGTTCAATTGAAATGCGTTCAAGTTTAAGGCTCGATAGTACGGTAGGAAAATTCGGTAACTATGAAATAAAAGTCAAATTGAAAATTGATTTTAGGATCGTTCTAGAGTGTGGTTTTGGCGGGGCTAAAGCTGTGTTGAACTGCTATGTAATGTTTAATATCTTACAAGACAGTGAATGGTGGAAAATAACTTCATGCCTTTCAGAAACTAAGCAATTTATTAAGAGATAGGAAAATAATGTTCTAAAAAAAAAGCTATGTAATATCTATCTACTATGGTAGTGAATGCTTAACAATCTCCTCATTTCTTTCAGAAAAAGGTCAAAGTATTAAGAGAAAAGAAAATTAAATTAGAAACAAAGAAAAGAGTGCTGAACTGTTATGTCATATCTCCTATATGGCAATGAATGCTGGACAATCTCATCACTAATGAGGAAGCAACACTTGAAGCAACAAAGATTTGGATCTACCGACGAATGCTAAGAATACAATGAACGATGCATGTGAGCAACAAGTCCTAAAGAAAAGAACGACAAGGAAACTTATCCTCCCAAAGTGACAACAGAAATTACTTGAATATAATGAGGAAGAAGGGCTTTGTGAATTTAACACTCACAGAATATACTGAAGGAAAGACGGTCAAAGGGAAAACATAAAGGAAGCTTATAAATAACATCAAAAAAATATAAATTAGTCTATATAGTTTTTACTACTTTAAAAAGAAAGGACTATCTAAAACTTAATGTATTTACTATTTTATTTAATAAAATAATAAATTGAAAAGAAGATACAAGAACTTAAATAAATCGATTTTATTTGCTTGAAAACAATAGAGTACGGTAATTAAATAAATACTTGTTTAAAAAACATTATATAAAAATATTGGAGGTAAACTTAGCCCTTTAGACCCCATCCAGAAAGTACGCCCCTGTTATTGTTGCAGTAGGGCTTTATCTGGACTGGAACACATGATTTTTGAGTTAATACTTATTTAAACGTATGGGGGAATATTGGGGAAGGAGGACTAGCCCCCTAAACCCGCCTTCTGCAAGTACGACCCTGGTATTGTTGTAGTGGGAGGTTATCTGGATCCCACAATTTTCAGTTATTTAAAAATATAGCGATAGACGGCTTAGCCACCAAATCCCCACTCCTTAAGTTTTCGTATTTTCCAGTGATATTCTATGTTTATTGTTTCAAACTCATCCCACAGGGGTCGGTAATCTCCTTTTTATACGTGGCAACACAGAGACATATGAACAAGAAATTTTCATTATAGACAGTACCCTACAACGTAACAACTACCTGGGTACATGGCAGAGGCTCCGGCAAACTGGGATAGAAGGGTACAAGAGGATAACAACGGTCAGAAAACAGCTTCAGTCTGGCTACCCTATGTGAAAAGGGTTATCGGAGAAAATACAAAAGATCTGTAGTCCATATAACATCAGGACAATCTTCAAAAATGGTTCAACACTTCGCAGACATCTCTTCCGAGTTAGACCTCCACCCATGGAGGAAAACATGACTAAGAACTGTGTACACCATCCCGTGCAGCTGTGGTAAGAAATATAAATGAGAAACAGGCTGCCCCACTTAAGTTAAGAAAAATCGAGAAAAATCAAGAAAATCGTAAAGCCATAACACGAGAGGAAATGAAAAATTCAGGTGTTGCTGACGACATATCGATAGAAAGAAAGAAAGAAAGAAAGAAAGAAAGAAAGAAAGAAAGAAAGACAAATAGATAGATAGAAAGAGACAGAAAGAAAGGGAAACTGGCATGTAGGTAAAGATATATATATATAGAGAGAGAGAGAGAGAGAAATTGGCATGCACAGAGAAAGACAGACATGCAAATTGATCCATAGAAAGAAAGAAAGAAACAAACAATAAACAAAGAGATGGAAAATGAGTGTAAAACCAAAATATACAGAATTGGGCAATTTAATTTTCCACTCGGCAAAAGTCGCCATTCTACCAGATACTTTAATCATTGTATTGTCAGAAAGATGGACTAAAACTACTTCGTGATAAAAATAAAAATGAAATAAAAAAGAATAAATGAATTATAATAAGCTTTTGAAATTCGGCAATAATGTAAATTTATAAATCAATAAATAAATAAATAAAACAAAATAAAAACGGAATAAAATGAATGACTGATTCCAAAGAAATAAGGCCACCTGATATGTCAACAAAAATTAAATTTAAAATTCGAGATTTTTTTCTCTCTTATTTATTAAGAAAAAGAAAATCAAACATTTTGCAGATTTTCCATTTTTAATGGGCTCTTTGTGTATATACGTCTTTGAGTGCGTGGACTTGTCTGTGTGCCGATGTTTGCTCGAATATGCACGCTATTGTTGGATTATATAATATATATATATATATATATATATATATATATATATATATATATATATATATATATATATATATATAAGCTCTCTCTAGAAAAAAATCGACGGAGAGTCCATCATATATATATATATATATATATATATATATAGTGCGTGTGTGTGTGTGTGTCTGTGTGTCTGTGTATGTGTATGTGTGTCTGTGCCTGAGCGTTTGAAAGTTGCTATTTTTATGAGGGATAAATGCTCTAAATCGGTGGAAGAATGTTTATAGTTATAAACACCGTGGACATAGGAATCAACACTACATGGTGACTGTATAAAAATGTGTGTGTGATATGATAAATTGGTGTACGTAATGAGAAATCATAGAGCCGAGTTGGAATTCCTGTCGAAATTCACTTACGCGCAAATACCCTTGGGAGCGGTATGAATTCACCTCTACGCAGCTATGGGTTAAATTATTGGACTTGTATCTGGAAAAATGATTGTTACAGGTGTAAGTTCTTTCCCGATATTTAAAGATGACCTAAGACAGTATGGAAAAAGAAAGCTCACCAAATCACATGGGAATGCTAAATTATCTCTGGAGAGAATTGAGTCATAAGACATCACCATCTGTTTTATAATAATAATAATAATCAGGGACGTCTACTTAAACACGTGCATCTACTAAATACAATGTTTACGTAATACGATATATTTTATTACTTATGAATTGAATTAAAAAATAAAACCTATCAATTCTTCACAAATTACTTTTTTTGCGTTTCTCTTACGAAATTCACTAGATGTGTGTTTCAAGAGAAATTGGAACGAGTGAATGTGATTTAAAGGCTAAATAGAATGTTGTTTGGGTGTAAAGCCATTCGTAGACGAATGGCCAAAGCATATCGGACCAGAAACTAATGTCGGCATAAGGAAGGACGCAGGTTCGAATTCTGTTGGAGGGTACATTTTCTTTATTAAGTTTTCCCTAGTACACACACCGGTAGACGATATATAATACCGTTTAAAATAAACAGAGCGTCTACTTAAATAAGGGTATCCACTTAAAATAACGTTCAAAGTAAAAAAAGAAGAAGAGACATGTATGTACGTGTATGAATGCGTTTGTGACAGTCGGGTGTTGTCCGTTGGTTGGTTGATTTTGTTTAGCGTCATATCGACCTTTATGGGTTATTCAATGCCAAAATGAAAATATTTTGAGCAAAATCTTATAGATTCAACTAAATATATTTTGAACGCAATTGTATGCCTTCAACTACAGATAAAATTTATTGCTGGTCATTTGCTATAAATATATGTTAGTAATTTTACTATAAATAGGTATTGTTGGTAATTTTTCATATAAAAATGTATTGCTGGTATTTTTATTATAAAAATGTATTTTTATACTTTCATAATGTTTTATTTTTGCTTGGGAGGTCACTATTTGCTCATAGTAAAACAGTTGCGACTACCAAGGGGTCAGGGTAGACCTGGAAACAACAGCAATTAAGAGATAGTTCCACGCTCCTCAAAACCTCCTGAACAGAGCCCTTGCTGCCGGTTGTAGTCTATCATCATACCCAGGACTGTTGGTCCATTGTTTGATTTGGGGCATGATGAATGTGACAATGGTGGCTCTCCAGTGGTAAATAAAATGTAAGGGGATTCGGTAGCGTTCAAATGAAAGCAACTGGGGAAAAATAAAGAAGTATAGGTGTCCAAGTTGCCGGAAAAAAATGTCGGAAGTATAGATGTTCAAGTTGCCGGAAAAAAAATCCCAGAATCGCTGGTATTATTTGAGCATAAATTCATATATGTATGTATGATTATGTTTGAATCAGCGAGGATACTCGACATATCTCGAGGAAACAAAATATCAGTTAATAAAAACACATATAAAAATAAAGTGAAGATCGAAATCACTAATTATTCATAACTGTTCGAGCGAGACAAGCTTGCTAACGATTGCACCACTTCGGGGTGTCCCCTTGCGCACTTTTATGGTGATTTTCTAAGTTATAGCTTAGATGTGACAATATAATATTTAGGACAATAAAGGAACAGCGTTCAGGCGGACAGAAGATAGCGGTTGACGCTGCATGAAGATTGTAGTTATCAGGGAAGCAAGAAATCGGAAGGGAGTTCCACAAATGAGAAGTGCGAGAAAATAAAACTGTTAGAGTAGAAGTGATGGTTGCATCTAGCTAGTTCAATAGTAAAATGGTGAGACCTAATTGCCAATCTAGTAGTATGTTTAAATTCATGCAGTCGAGGCACCAGGGAAGAGAAGCTCATTATAAAATTTTCCATCAAAATATTTTGTAGAAACGAAAGGGGGAAGCCCAGCCACGTCGCTGAGTGATTGAAGTCGAGATGCCTGCTCAAAATCGATTACATTACGGAATTTTTTTTTAAATTTGTCAAGAATCGCGAGATGGGCAAGAGGACTAGACCAGATATGGCAACAGTATTCAATGCACGGTAGAATGGTAGATTTATAAATATTCAAGATGAATCCTGAGGAGAAAAAAAATTCTGGCACAATATAGTGAAGCAACTTTCCTAGCAGTAGTAGAGGTAGTTGATTCGATATAGTCGCTCAATTTAATGTCAGTGGAAAATGTGAGACCAATAAGCGTTCTTCTCCAGGAGCTGAGCATCAGCTATGCTGATTGCAACCAAGAAAATGTTCTCTGTGTTGATTAAATGAAAGCAGTTTTGATTTGGAAGCGTTAACATTAGCAAGCCATTTCTTGCCCCAGTTAATCACTGATTGGAGGTCCTTTTCTAGAACACTTACGAGTATTACTAATCTAGGTTTTTTGGTACGCATTAATGAGTTAAACTTATCCACTCTACCATTTGTGAGATTAGAACATATTTTAGTACTTCATGGATACACTGAATATCTTACATCATTTACTTAAAGTTGAGCTCTTGATTGACTTATGATGACCTTGAATGATTCCATAGATCACAACAGTATGTACTGCAAATCTTCATGCCAAGGATCTCACGATTTATTGTCTGACATGCCGTAACATCTAAAATGAAGCCGTATTTCCTTAGCAAAACTTACAGCGACAAAGATTGATTGATTGAATTGTTTTTATAGTTTAACAAACCTTTTCTGAGTTATCTAAAGTCGAAATATATTTTGGATTGAATAAATTTTTGTAAGTGAATATTGCATTTTGTTTTTTGTTTTTTTTTTAGAATAAGAATTTTTTTCTAGATACGAGTCCGGCTATTAAACTGTGGTGTCCTTCCTCTAAAGATTCTATGTTGGACTCTTCCACCTACTATAATATTAGTAGGAGAGAAGGCCTTGGGAAAACAGTCTAATAGATTGTTCTACCGAGGCTGTGACTTTTCGCAGCTGCTGTCGAACTCTCTGCCTTTGGGCAGAGAGGAACCCGGACGAGGCTGTGCCGAAGGGCAGAGTTTTGTCCGAGGAGGTAGACAGGCCCGAACCCGTTTATGCGGTTTCTACGGGGATTTTTTGGCCGAGCCTACAGGCTCGGAGAACCCACGTTAAACTCGGCCTTGTGCCACATACATCACTCGTGGTGGGTGGGGCTGTTAAATATTAACAGTCGAATAGATCTGTTCGTCTGTGCTGGTCAAACCCTCTGTCTCCAGGATTCCCAGACGAGGCTATGTCGAAGGGAAGAGTCTCGTCTCGGGAAACAGCTACCCGACTCCGTTTTATACGGTGACTATGGGAATTGTTGGCCGAGCCTACGGGCTCAGATTGCCCCACATTAAATTCGGCCTTATGTCACATCCTACGTTGTGGCGAGGCTGGCAAATGTAACACTCGAATAGATGGAACGCTAGGTCAACAGAGACACACTCACTAGTCGTGTCATACTCTTCTGTTGTACTTACTGTTTAATATATGATATACCTGCAACACTTATTTTATTTTTTTAACCATTTATTTGGTCACAACATTAACCATACCCAAACGAGGAGAAGAGATGTATTTCTACATTTTCAAAGGGTATTTGGGCGTAAGTGAATATAACGAACCCGACTAGAATTCGAAATCGACTCTTCGATTTCTGATTACGAGTCGCTATCCATTGCACCATGCGAACATCCCCACAGCGACAAGGAAGGGACCTTAAAAGCAGACCAAAAAGTAGAGCAAACGAAAAGCATTAACACTTTTGAAACCGGCTATCTTCAGGTGCCAGACTATCATCATTTGCCGTGGAAAAATAAGTCTGTCCTCAATGGATCTCAACAGGTCTGCAGTATGCACAGTATAGCACCCTCTTTCTAAAAGTGAAAAAAAAGAAAGGTTGTTGTTTTCTATACTCGCTCAATTCCATCCTTATCTTCGCCACAGATTTGATTTGCCTGATTATTTGGCCCAGGGAAACTGTTTAACATAATGTTTTTTTATTCATTATGGGGAAAGGTTTACTCTAGTACTATTGTCGTACGAAAATATATTTTACGATAACAAGATTGTTCGGTGTAAGATTATAATTAC